GTACTTGTTCCCAAAAGCTAGCATCGAGGCACCGAAACTGAAGAATGGAATGTATGAAGGCGCCGCACTGGTGAAGGCCTCCGGGAAGTTCGTGCTGTTGCAGAAGATGCTGAAGAAACTAAAGGATCAAGGTGCGTACGCCTCTCCATCAGCAGTTTTTTGACTTAATTAACGGAAGCCATTCATACGTCTGAATTTTGCAGGACATCGTGTTTTAATCTTCTCTCAAATGACCAAAATGCTGGATATTATGGAAGATTTTTGTGAAAATGAAGGATACAAATATGAGCGCATCGATGGCTCAATCACTGGACAAGCACGTCAGGACGCAATCGACCGATTCAATGGTGCGTACTTTTGTGTTAACCAGATTTTTGCCCGATTCTCTTTGTTCCCTTGTTCGGCTTCTATTTGATCTGAGAATGGAGTGAAGCGCATATTTATTATGTCTGCTGTGTACATTCACTCTACATACACGTGCTACTAATACATTTGTATTATCTAGTCCTTCGCATTTGTCAATTTCTGCGTTCAGTACTTGTTAACGTCAACAGCCATCGTTGTCGGAAGCGTCACGTTCACTCTTTTTTTTTCCCTCTTTCCGTTCATTTTTTTTTTCCAAATAATGTTATTAGCTATGTTTGTGACACATTTTGGCAATGCACTTCGCTGAGTATTGTTTTCAGCTCCAAATGCGCAGCAGTTTGTATTCCTATTATCAACAAGAGCAGGTGGACTGGGAATCAATTTGGCCACTGCAGATACTGTTATCATTTATGATTCAGACTGGAATCCACATAATGATATTCAGGCAATTCTTTTTCCCTTCGTACGATGCAGCACCGATCAAGTTATGGTCACTTGATATTGACTTCGTTTCGTTTTCAGGCCTTCAGCAGAGCGCATCGTATTGGGCAGCAGAGAAAAGTGCTCATTTATCGGTTTGTTACGCGTAATTCAGTGGAGGAACGGATTACATCTGTGGCAAAGAAGAAGATGTTATTGACTCATCTGGTCGTTCGTGCTGGCATTGGGCAAAAGGGACCGTCGATGAGCAAAAGTGAATTGGATGAAGTATTACGCTGGGGCACCGAAGAGCTTTTCAAGGTGTGTTTGGGGCTTCCAGGGGGCGTCTTTTAGGACGCATTTCTTTGCCTCTTTACTGTGTGTTGTTAATTGTCCAAAGTTAACCTTGAAAAGTTGCTAAAAATCTCTTCGTAACATATGTAGTGCTTAGGTAGGCTTGCCATCATGGGTCCAGTAAAACTTTTTACCACAGATCATACTGCTGGACATACCAGCTCATCTGATCGTCGCTTAGTTACAGAATGGCCATACTTTTTTATGAAGTTTTAGAAGTGAAAGTTCTCTTTATTACTTTAGCGATGACATATATTGCCTGTTTCTGCTGCTGTTTTTAGTGTTTTCTTCAAGAGCTGATGAATTTAAGCTGTTGCTGCAAAGAAGTACGCACATTCAAAAGGCAGTGACACTTATCATATAAATTATTGTTTTACAGGAAGACGAAACAACCACTGAGGGCGAGCAGGGCGAAAAGAAGACTAGTGAGCAAGAGATTATTTGGGATGACGAGGCAGTGGAAGCTCTGTTGGATCGGTCGGCTGACGACCCGAAGGAAAAAGCGGGCGAGAAGAAAGAGCATTGGAGCAACGAATATCTTTCCTCGTTTAAAGTTGCGCAGTATACCACTCGGGAAGCGGACGAAGAGGAGGCCGAGGAGGAAGTCAGTATTTTTTTGGGTGAAGTTAACTTATCAAACTGCTGTCACGCGTTCAGAATGTTCCTGATTGTAAAATTCTCTCTTTTGCATATGGCAAGCGGTATATTAAGGAGCCTGGCGTAGCTTTGCCTGATTCGAGCTTACTT